TGACCCGGATACGTCAGGAACCATGGAACTTTCCACGGAATCGACTCTACTTGATCCTTCGGAACCGGATGGACCCAACGAGTTTCAGGATACCCCTTCCCTCCCACCTGTGTCGTCTCTTCTCTGCACTCTGGAGGAGGATGACCCGATGGAATCTGCGATTCCGTCCGCTCATATCGGCGTCGCATCGCGTGGAAAGGATACGAGACCGACGATGACGGATGTGATTGCGCGACACGAGCGCCTTCGACATGACAACGCTGAAGACGATGCTGCTCGTCGTCGTGTGGAGACGCCAAAACCCCTCGCCTGCGACATCGAGGCGATCGAGCGACAGTATGCCGCTGGCAACGACTGGTCGTTCATCGCCATGCGCATAGACCAGGCGCGTCCGTACGAACTGCCACGTGCCAAGTACGACATGGTGATTGACACCGGAAGGACCTTCGCGAAGACTCCGCTCCAGAAGATCATGGCGTCACTGACTGGCAAAAGCCATGGTAGTGACGTTCTTGAGCGTCTTTATGCGTCGCACGCGATCGGCCAGATCTCAAAGCTCCCTGGAGGCAACCTGCGCGTCAAGGTCAAGTCGAAGGAAGCATGTCTACTCCTAGGACGCACCAAGGTGAACATTCTTGGTGGTTGTTTCCTGTTCAAGGAATTTGACGTACTGAGCGCAAAGTACTTCATCGACATTTCAAGCATTGACTCCGATACTCCCACGGATCTCATTCTGCAGCGCTTGTTCCAGCTAGGATGCCAGCCCGTGTACGACACTTTCCGTGACGTTAACCTTGCGACAGGTCTCACGTCCGCGACGTGGCGTGTGTACTTCCTTTCCACCACGTGTCCGAGTGCGTTGATGATCAATGGCTTGGTCTGCGATCAGGTGCTCTTCGACAACAAACTCCACCCTGCGCACGGCAAGAACGCACCGTACCAGTCGGAGCGACTGCCATTTGGCTACCGCTCTCACCACGGTCTCGACCTGGGTACGACTGACGGCCAGTTTCCACCGCCGGAAACAGTGGCTGGGTCAACTCCATCTCCCACATCGTCTTCGCATTCTCTACCGAGGCAGCCGATCCCCTCGAAGTCGTACGCACAAGCAGCCCGTGCGACGCCAATTCGTCAACTGACTTCTCTGCAGAAAGCAGTCGAGGAGGCAAAAACCAGGACTTCTCAGCCCCAGCGTGGTGCTCAGCATGGTAAGCATTCTGCTGCCAGCCAACTGGCTAAAGTGCCACCAACATCCACTGATACGCTCTCAATTTCGTCATTTAACGACTCCAACGGCAAGATTTCCCCTCCTAGTAGTCCGAAGGCGCCAAAGAAGCTTCTTTTGCTGACCAACGGACCAGAGGACAATTTTGTGACCGCGTCAAACAAGAAGAAGAGATCGCGCAAGGCCACTGACTTCTCCAACCTCATGGTCAAGCAACAGCCGACCCCTCTCGACGGTATTGCGACGGCCAACTATTTCCAGGCTCTCCAGTCGATGTCGGTCACGTTTGAGTCGAAGAATGTGACGGCGGACAAGACGTACGGGGTCCGGTACCATGTGGCTCCGGTTGATGTGAAGCGTCCAGACTCGATGAAGACCTCGACTGAATCAGCCTTCTTCGTCGAGAAGCACCATACGAAGATCAAGAAGGCCTCCAAGGCGACCCCTATCATGGAAGTAACGGAAGCAATGCTCGATGATGAGAATACGGCGCTTCTTAGCGTCCTTCCGGATCGTCTCGCGGAGGCGGACACGAAGGTGGATGGTGTGTGCAAGCTCTTTGAAAACGCAACGAACCCTGACCATATCACGAAGAAAGCCATCGAGTGTCCGCTTGCCTTCAATAGCACTATGGCTCTCAAGATGGCCGGGGATGGTCACGAGATCGCCGAGCTGGCTCAGATGCACGTAATCAACCGCGTCTTCAGTGCTACGTGCCCCGGAGATGATACGACATTCAGCGCGAAGTGGAAAAAGCTTATGGAATCGGGTGTCCCGTCGAAACGTGGTGATATCTTTAAAATGTGCGCGAAATGGTGGACATCGTCCGCCTCGATCACTGAACTGTCTCGTGCGTCGAAAGCCTTGGGAATTTTTGAGCTTACTCTCATGTCCATTGCGCCGACAATATTCACGAACGTCCACTGGATCCAGTACATCACGGGCCAGCCGGTCAAGTGGATTCCGGCTCACCACACAAGGCTCCTACATCCGAATACTCTCCTCCGGCTTCTCCGTTCGGACCTCGGGTCCCTCTGTATGCAGCAGTGGCGAGAAGTGCAGTGGCAAGGTCACCTATTGGATGACCTCGAGTCGCTCCGGACGCTGGATGGATTCTACCCGGATGATTCTTCGGTTCTCCAACTCCGGGTTGTGGATGGTGACGTGGTGATGGTCGCGAGCGACCTCGCCACTCGCTGCTAAAGTTTCCGAGATTTCCACCGCTCTATGGAGCAACGTGAGTGTTCTCACCGTGAACACAAACGGCATCAAGAATAACGGTCACCTCTTTATCGATAAAATGCTCTCCAAGTACTCATTGGCATGCGTCCAAGAAACCAAGTTCGGTTGTAGCTCGCATCTTTCCAATTTCACATTCCACATGGATTCAAGCTTTACGAACAAGGTATTTGTGGATGATCCTAACTCTCTGTTGCATCGACCCACGCGTGGTCGGTGCAATGGAGTGCTCACAATGATCCGCTCCGACTTCCCTGGCTTTGATACAGCCATGATAGTTCCCTCTGTCGCGGTCCCGGGTCGCTATCTCGTCGTGAAGCTAATGGTCGAGGACTCTCCTGTTTACATCCACAATGTGTACGCCCCTGTTGATCGCCGCGAGAAGCATCAATTCTTCTCACAATTGGACACGGCGGAGTTTGAGGACCACGCGACGCACTTGGTGCTGGGAGACCTCAACACGCCGCTCGATCCTCGTCTCGACTCTTGTTCATCCGACCGACGTCATGACCCTGGACGGTTAAGCTGTCTCGAGTGGCTGTCACAGCTCGGGGTTGTTGACGCCTGGCGGATACATCATGAAACCAAGCGCGTATTCACTGGTCCCCTACCCCGGAGAAATCGATTGGACTACATTTTACTATCGGACGACTTCTGCACGCGCTTCTACGGTGACTCCAAGTACTTCCTACCCCAGCATGCGGGTGATCATCTCGCCCAAAGTTTGCTCTTGCATTCAGGAAAGCAGATACACGGCCACGGTTACTGGAAGTTCCCGCGTTATTTACTGGAGTATCCAGTTGTTGTACAGGCCATCGAGCGCGAGGCTGACATGGTCCTTGAGCAATTGCGTATCGCTACTAACCCGGGCAAGGTCTGGGAGAAATGGAAGGTCCGCATCAAGCGTCAACTACAAGATGTTCAAGCGAAGCCCCGGCAGCAGAACTCGCAAGCAGTACTGGAAGCTCGAAGTCAGCTTGACCGGGCCGCGTCCGTATACCGTGTGTCTGCAGCCGTCTCCGACCGCGAAATCTTTAATGAGGCACTCCGAAATTACAAGGATATCGTAACTTGGGAGAGCCGGCACAATCAAGACAAGTCGTTTGACTTCCAAGTGGCCAACTCTGATAAGTCTACTCGCCACTTCTTTCGTCCGGTCGACACGACCTTGCGACGAGTCTCCATCGAAGAAGTGGACACACCAGGCGGAGGTGTCTCCAAGAACCCGCTCGAGATCTCTCTCCGTTTTCTCGAGCACTGGGGATCAATGATGGGAGACCCATGCAGCCCGACCGGTACAGCCCCTCCTCCTGACGACGTGATGCAGCAAAAGCTGCTCAACTCGATCACCCGCGTTGTTTCCGATGTTGATCATGCCATTCTCAATGCTCCGGTCACACCTACGGACCTGGCGGCAGCGATTCGCCACATGAAGCCCACGTCAGCGCCGGGTATGGATGGGCTGACGGCTGGATTTTACCAGGTGGCTCCGGATGTGTTCGGCGCGTGCTTAAGCCTTGTGTTTAACAATCGCCTACTACATGGTACACTGCTTCCATCGCAGCGCAAATCAGCGGTAGTCCTACTACACAAGAACGAATCCCGTGCTTCCCCTGGAAACTACCGACCCATCTCACTCGTGCAGGTTGACGTGAAGGTGCTTTCCAAAGCTTTAACGTACCGGCTGCAGCACGTCATTGTGGACCTGATTCATCCTGATCAAAAGGGATTTGTCAAGGGCCGTTCGATACACCATCATGTTCGGTTTCTTGCGGATCTACAAAATCTCGTGACGGCGATGGATGACGACGCGTACGCTTTATTTTTGGATTTTGAAAAAGCATTTGATCGCGTAAACTGGACGTACATGTTTCGACTGCTCGAGCGCATGGGACTCGGCGCGGAGTTTCTCCAGTGGATTCACCTACTGTATCATAAACCGCAAGCTCACCTAGTGATCAACCAGAACATCCAGCCAGCGCTTTTTCCGACGAGGGGCGTTAAGCAGGGGGACCCACTGTCGGCGCTGCTCTTTGTACTGACGATTGAACCACTATGAAACCTTTTCCGGTCTAATGAAGAATATGGCGTGTGTGTGAGCGCGGATCACACCTGCACCAGCACGTTCTTTGCGGATGACTCGACACTTCTGGGAAGCTCAATCACGAACATACAAGCGCAGCTTGAGCTTGTGGATGAGTACTGCCGTGGATCCGGTGCAAAGCTTAATTTATCGAAGTCTGTCTTGTTGGCGCTTAATAGGAATCACGACTGTCCGATCCTTCCAGGAGTGAAAGTGCTCGGTCGCATGGAGTCGGTGAAGTATCTCGGAATCTTGGTCAGCCAGTCGTGTGTTAATGATGAAACTGTGGAGCTCCTTGATCAGCGCTTTTACGATGGATTTAAGGCTTGGTACCGGCGTGCAAGAACGCTTCGTGGCAGGCTTTTAATAGCTCAAACTATGGTCCTCTCTCGATTATGGCACTATACACAACATGCGTCGATTTCCGCAGCAGTGGTAAAGAGGTGGCAGTCAATGTTGAACAAGTTTGTACTGAGTCGTAAACATGACCGTCACGCTTCATCCGTGCGGCTCATTTCACAGGAATTCTTATACATGCGACGAAGCGAAGGGGGTCTAGGCATCCCAAACCTCGAGGCGCTGCTCAAACGTCAGCGTCTCCAATTATTGCTGCAGTTCATCACTGCCGCTACTGCCAAAGGTGAGCGTAATTGGACCACTTCAGGCTCTGAGGTCCTCATGTTAATTCTTCCTCGCACTGGCAACCGCCACGCACTCGACTTCCTCACCATCTCCCCACTACGTCACGGTGAGATAATCAACTGGCGACTGACTTCACATTGGTGGCGTGTGACGTGGACTTGGTGGTACAAGATCCGCTGGGACATCACGCAACGCGATTTACCTTCCGGCGATCGCGTTTTATATAACCTTCACCAGCCGATCTGGTATCATTCGGACCCAGATCTGCACTTTGAACGGGCAACACGGAGTTGTACCAGACAAGCGCATCGCCGCTGCATTGGGATGGTCCCGGAACCCCAGCGGAGCTTTCGCCTACATATCGCCAGAGTCTTCCGCATCCGATCGCTCTCCGACTTTGTGCGAAGTGGATCTTCCTGGCCGTCTCAGACAGACTTTGTTTCGCGTCTTATGGACTTCACGCTACTGTCCACAGCCCCTGGTCTCCAAATCAAGTGGTTGCGCGTGCTTTACAAGGAGACGACACAGATTGTTGAACGTCTGAATGCACGTTCGATCGTATGGCCCGCTTCGCCTCCTTTAACTCAAGTGGCTCCCTACTTGGGCTGCACGATTGGTACAAAGACATTTCTGGTCCCTGCAATTCCGCGGACCGCGCTTCTCGGTGTGGTTTGGCAGCCTGTGATGCCAGCTAAACCGCATCCCATGACTACGCACTCGCGACACGTCGACGATGAGCAGATCACCTCGTTCATCAAGCATGGTAAGCATTTGCGCAAGATCCTGCTTCCTGTCTTTGAAGACCTGCAGTTTCGCGTGACCTTTCGTCTTTTGCCATTGCGCGCTCGATTTTGGTTTCTTATCGCTTCGAACCCGCGTATTCAGTATTGTGTGCGCGATGGATGCAATGCGATCGAGACAGAGCAACATTTGTTTTTCGACTGCACTCTTGCGTCACGTCTGTGGGGTCACTTGAATCAAGTGATGTCCCCCTTCTTTCGTACGAGGCCGACATGGTTGGACATTGTTTTGGCGAAAAAAATGCGCTTGCGCGGTAAGTGGAAATTTCATGTGGGCGCCATTCACGATATCTGGGATGCTCTTCGTACGGCGGCTCTTCACTTTATCTGGAAAGACCGCAATCGATGCTTGTTTGATGAACGGTTGCCTACGCCGGAACTCCCTGCATTGTCGGCCATCTTCACGACTTTGGAGGCGCACATCCGGTTTTTTTCACGACATATTTATGAGCGAGACCAGTTGTCGGCCTTGTTCATGATCGTGCGCGTGATGAAATCTTACTCTTTACCCGGACTCTTTACGCATATGGACACTGAATTTACGGCCGACTTCCACGGTTGCAAGTGGCTCGAGCGGGAAGGTATGGCGGTACCATCCCAGAGGTCACTGGTTCGATCCCCGGCAGGGACGGAAGTTAAGCCTTAGGGTCCTGGTGTTTGGGGTTCACCAGCACTGTGCCGCCACACAGTGACGTCCCCCACTTTTTGTTTCTGCACAACAACGTCCACTACCAACCTGTAATGGTACGATTTCGACAGATATGAATCCCAGAAACTCCGATCGATGGCGTCCGCGCCTCACTCATCGTATCAATAGAACGTTCTAAACGTCAGCAAAGAACATGATAGGTAAGTTGGGAAGTCACATCGTCTAAATTATTGTAATATAGACAACCTTTCAACTGAGCTACCGAGGCCTCATCGCAGTCGCACACCCCCGCACCACAAAAATTGCGCTCTACACCGCACATCACGACGCAAGCATACGCTGATTCTCAGCCTCGTTCGCCCTGCTTGTTTCATTGGCTCTGGCCTTTATTCGGCAAGTGCCAGTCTACTGCCAACTCGTACGAGCGAATCGCTGAAATACATCGACGTCGCTTCATCCTATGTGTTTGTGATCATGTGCAATCGTTTGCATAACACGGAGCGGCCATCAAGCCGTCATCGCATGAAAGCTTGGGTGGCCGCCGACAAAGAACGCTGAATGTTGGCCTGAGAAAGATGTGACCTCAAAGCAGTTGGTCTCTCAAGCATACTGTACGCACACCTACCGGACTTTAATTGTATGCTACCGGTCCACTGTAAAGCACCATGCTACTGGTACAGCATAATAAGTTGGAACAACATGGAGGAATGAAGGAAGCGGCAGGGTTGTGCAAAGGTGCCGCGACCCGGGATCGAACCAGGGACCTTCAGATCTTCAGTCTGACGCTCTCCCAACTGAGCTACCGCGGCCTTATCGTAGTCGCGCACTCCCGCACCACAAAAAATTGCGCTCTACACCGCACATCACGACGCAAGCATACGCTGATTCTCAGCCTCGTTGGCCCTGCTTGCCCCACCGGTTCTGGTCTTTATTCGGCAAGTGCCAGTCCACTGCCAACTCGTCTGAGCGAATTGCTGAAATACATCGACGTCACTTCATCCTATGTGTTTCTTATCATGTGCAATCGTTTGCATAACACGGAGCGGTCATCAAGCCGTCATCGCATGAAAGCTTGGGTGGCCGCCGACAAAGAACGCTGAATGTTGGCCTGAGAAAGATGTGACCTCAAAGCAGTTGGTCTCTCAAGCATACTGTACGCACACCTACCGGACTTAAGTGTATAAAATAAACGATAATAGTGGTATTAAAATAGGACAATGTATAAAGATTTATAAAAAAAAATTTTGAAAAATGGGGCTACCGGTCCACTGTAAAGCACCATGTTACTGGTACAGCATAATAAGTTGGAACAACATGGAGGAATCAAGAAAGCGGCAGGGTTGTGCAAAGGTGCGGCGACCCGGGATCGAATCAGGGTCCTTCAGATCTTCAGTCTGACGCTCTCCCAACTGAGCTACCGAGGCCTCATCTCAGTCGGGCATCCGAGCACCACAAAAATTGCGCTCTACACCGCACATCACGACGCAAGCATACGCTGATTCTCAGCCTCGTTGGCCCTGCTTGCCCCACCGGTTCTGGTCTTTATTCGGCAAGTGCCAGTCCACTGCCAACTCGTACGAGCGAATTGCTGAAATACATCGACGTCACTTCATCCGATGTGTTTCTTATCATGTGCAATCGTTTGCATAACACGGAGCGGTCATCAAGCCGTCATCGCATGAAAGCTTGGGTGGCCGCCGACAAAGAACGCTGAATGTTGGCCTGAAAAAGATGTGACCTCAAAGCAGTTGGTCTCTCAAGCATACTGTACGCACACCTACCGGACTTTAATTGTATGCTACCGGTCCACTGTAAAGCACCATGCTACTGGTACATCATAATAAGTTGGAACAAGATGGAGGAATGAAGGAAGCGGCAGGGTTGTGCAAAGGTGCCGCGACCCGGGATCGAACCAGGGACCTTCAGATCTTCAGTCTGACGCTCTCCCAACTAAGCTACCGAGGCCTCATCTCAGTCGGGCATCCGAGCACCACAAAAATTGCGCTCTACACCGCACATCACGACGCAAGCATACGCTGATTCACAGCCTCGTTGGCCCTGATTGTTTCATTGGTTCTGGCCTTTATTCGGCAAGTACCAGTCTACTGCCAACTCGTACGAGCGAATTGCTGGAATACATCGACGTCACTTCATCCTATGTGTTTGTGATCATGTGCAATCGTTTGCATAACACGTAGCGGTCATCAAGCCGTCATCGCATGAAAGCTTGGGTGGCCGCCGACAAAGAACGCTGAATGTTGGCCTGAAAAAGATGTGACCTCAAAGCAGTTGGTCTCTCAAGCATACTGTACGCACACCTACCGGACTTTAATTGTATGCTACCGGTCCACTGTAAAGCACCATGCTACTGGTACAGCATAATAAGTTGGAACAACATGGAGGAATGAAGGAAGCGGCAGGGTTGTGCAAAGGTGCCGCGACCCGGGATCGAACCAGGGACCTTCAGATCTTCAGTCTGACGCTCTCCCAACTAAGCTACCGAGGCCTCATCTCAGTCGGGCATCCGAGCACCACAAAAATTGCGCTCTACACCGCACATCACGACGCAAGCATACGCTGATTCACAGCCTCGTTGGCCCTGATTGTTTCATTGGTTCTGGCCTTTATTCGGCAAGTACCAGTCTACTGCCAACTCGTACGAGCGAATTGCTGGAATACATCGACGTCACTTCATCCTATGTGTTTGTGATCATGTGCAATCGTTTGCATAACACGTAGCGGTCATCAAGCCGTCATCGCATGAAAGCTTGGGTGGCCGCCGACAAAGAACGCTGAATGTTGGCCTGAAAAAGATGTGACCTCAAAGCAGTTGGTCTCTCAAGCATACTGTACGCACACCTACCGGACTTTAATTGTATGCTACCGGTCCACTGTAAAGCACCATGCTACTGGTACAGCATAATAAGTTGGAACAACAGGGAGGAATGAAGGAAGCGGCAGGGTTGTGCAAAGGTGCCGCGACCCGGGATCGAACCAGGGACCTTCAGATCTTCAGTCTGACGCTCTCCCAACTGAGCTACCGAGGCCTCATCGCAGTCGCACACCCCCGCACCGCAAAAAATTGCGCTCTACACCGCACATCACGACGCAAGCATACGCTGATTCTCAGCCTCGTTGGCCCTGCTTGCCCCACCGGTTCTGGTCTTTATTCGGCAAGTGCCAGTCCACTGCCAACTCGTACGAGCGAATTGCTGAAATACATCGACGTCGCTTCATCCTATGTGTTTCTTATCATGTGCAATCGTTTGCATAACGCGGAGCGGTCATCAAGCCGTCATCGCATGAAAGCTTGGGTGGCCGCCGACAAAGAACGCTGAATGTTGGCCTGAAAAAGATGTGACCTCAAAGCAGTTGGTCTCTCAAGCATACTGTACGCACACCTACCGGACTTTAATTGTATGCTACCGGTCCACTGTAAAGCACCATGCTACTGGTACAGCATAATAAGTTGGAACAACATGGAGGAATGAAGGAAGCGGCAGGGTTGTGCAAAGGTGCCGCGACCCGGGATCGAACCAGGGACCTTCAGATCTTCAGTCTGACGCTCTCCCAACTGAGCTACCGAGGCCTCATCGCAGTCGCACACCCCCGCACCACAAAAATTGCGCTCTACACCGCACATCACGACGCAAGCATACGCTGATTCTCAGCCTCGTTGGCCCTGCTTGTTTCATTGGCTCTGGCCTTTATTCGGCAAGTGCCAGTCCACTGCCAACTCGTACGAGCGAATTGCTGAAATACATCGACGTCACTTCATCCTATGTGTTTCTTATCATGTGCAATCGTTTGCATAGCATGGAGCGGTCATCAAGCCGTCATCGCATGAAAGCTTGGGTGGCCGCCGACAAAGAACGCTGAATGTTGGCCTGAGAAAGATGTGACCTCAAAGCAGTTGGTCTCTCAAGCATACTGTACGCACACCTACCGGACTTTAATTGTATGCTACCGGTCCACTGTAAAGCACCATGCTACTGGTACAGCATAATAAGTTGGAACAACATGGAGGAATGAAGGAAGCGGCAGGGTTGTGCAAAGGTGCCGCGACCCGGGATCGAACCAGGGACCTTCAGATCTTCAGTCTGACGCTCTCCCAACTGAGCTACCGAGGCCTCATCGCAGTCGCACACCCCCGCACCACAAAAATTGCGCTCTGCACCGCACATCACGACGCAAGCATACGCTGATTCTCACCCTCGTTGGCCCTGCTTGCCCCACCGGTTCTGGTCTTTATTCGGCAAGTGCCAGTCCACTGCCAACTCGTATCAGCGAAATGCTGAAATACATCGACGTCACTTCATCCTATGTGTTTGTGATCATGTGCAATCGTTTGCATAACACGGAGCGGCCATCAAGCCGTCATCGCATGAAAGCTTGGGTGGCCGCCGACAAAGAACGCTGAATGTTGGCCTGAGAAGGATGTGACCTCAAAGCAGTTGGTCTCTCAAGCATACTGTACGCACACCTACCGGACTTTAATTGTATGCTACCGGTCCACTGTAAAGCACCATGCTACTGGTACAGCATAATAAGTTGGAACAAGATGGAGGAATGAAGGAAGCGGCAGGGTTGTGCAAAGGTGCCGCGACCCGGGATCGAACCAGGGTCCTTCAGATCTTCAGTCTGACGCTCTCCCAACTGAGCTACCGAGGCCTCATCTCAGTCGTGCATCCGAGCACCACAAAAATTGCGCTCTACACCGCACATCACGACGCAAGCATACGCTGATTCACAGCCTCGTTGGCCCTGATTGTTTCATTGGTTCTGGCCTTTATTCGGCAAGTGCCAGTCTACTGCCAACTCGTACGAGCGAATTGCTGGAATACATCGACGTCACTTCATCCTATGTGTTTGTGATCATGTGCAATCGTTTGCATAACACGGAGCGGTCATCAAGCCGTCATCGCATGAAAGCTTGGGTGGCCGCCGACAAAGAACGCTGAATGTTGGCCTGAAAAAGATGTGACCTCAAAGCAGTT